TGTTGAAGATTTAAAATGCTTGTCTAAAGAAATATATTGAGGATTATTCAGGTAAAGTATTAAGTCAATTAATGTTCCATTTCTTCGTGCACCTATGCGAGCGCAATTCATATCGTAAACCTTTTGAGACAATAATGTTCCTTGTAGCAACAATTCGTCTAGCAAAAAGTTAATTGTTCCTTCAGCAATTAATAAATCGTTTGATTTACGCAATAATTCTTCTGTCGCGTATTTAGCAGGTTCTAAAACATCAATAATTTCCTAAACTAAAAAACCGGGATTTTCAATCCCGATCCCGATAAATTTCGGGATCCCGGGATTGATCGGGATCGGTAAATCCCGGGAAATCCCGATCCCGATCCCGATAGCGAGAAAGCATATTTGAGAGTTGATTTTTAAAAGTGTGCCGAAAAATTGTTTGAGGATTATTTGATCAATTTTTAACAACCGATTCAAGTTGATCTTGAAAAAACCTGGTTTATTTCCTCAAGAATAGAAATTCATATTAGGTTTTAAGTAGATTGAACAACCTGTGAGCTAAATAAGCTCGGTGGTTATTGACCAAGTGCTATTGGTTTTGGTCATCTATGTCAAATAATTCTCGATTCGAGACATAGTAGAAGACCATTATATTTTTTACAAGCAAGCGTTCTTACTGCCTTGAGAAAACCTCTATTAAATTTATTACTAGAAAAATGTAATTTTTTTATGTACTTCCCCCGAGTGAGAATTGAACTAGCGCTGTTCTAAAGACTTTCGCTTGTATACTCTTCCCACTGAGCTACCAAGGGTTGTAAAGAAATTTTGCAAATGTCAACTTATTTTTATATGCCCAGAACAGTTTCTTTGGTATTATTGTAGATCCAAGTCCATTGGGGAGCCTGTACAGAAATTTTCCCTATAATTACCACCGAATATCGTCATATATTATCAACTTAACCTCGAATTTTCCCAAACTTTTTTTGTCGAGCAGGTTTTGACTCGATTAGTGACTAAGAACCATGACAGACTTAGATTTTATTCCACGGCTCACAGTATGGACAACAATAGTGTAAAGATTTTTTTGCAGAAACCAGTCTGCAATAAATCAAATCAAGATCTCCAGAGCTCTATGTCATATATCGTGATTGTCATATATCAACAATTTAACTACAATGTAATCCAATCTTATTTCTTTGATGGAAATTGATGACATTTCTCAAACTATTTCTCAATCCATGACCAACTCCACTCCTAAAACAGCAATTAAAATTATTTTTTCAAGAATTTCTGCTTTTATAAATCAATTTTTTCCCACAACGTTAAAATATGCAAAAAAGTTGCAAATTGAAATTCCAAATATTAGAAAAGAGCATAAAAAAACTGTCCACGTTGCAGACAATAATACAATGAGACAAGTCTAATGGCTGAAGACAACAAAAAAAAAATGCTCTGATCGAGATATTTCTCTCACGAGGTGCATACAATAATGATGCATATATTATTTAATCTACTTCTGCATTTTTCTCACAACTTCTGCACCTTAAAAGTTTTTTTTCGTTCACTTTTTTTTGTTGTTATTGTTCAGATCCGTTAGCGACAGCAATCACAGTGGCCAATGTTAAGCGCAAAGGGTATTCGCGATTTTTTACACTTGAATCCGATTTCATTCATTGTTATTTAATTTGATTTTTTTCTAAGACTCACAGCTTGTTGCTTGTACACCATAATATTTATATCCAATTTAAGAGATGTTGATAGTTTTATTGTGTTACGTAAGATGAATAAAGAATAGAGGCTAGACATGTGAATCTAACTAATATAATGTGCTGAATGGTCGTTTAAGGAATTAATAATTTTTTGCTGCTGTTATTTTTTTTTGTGTCTTCTTTTAATGAATTTCTGTGAAAATTGGTTAAGTGTTATTGAACGTGATGCTTAAAAAATAGGCGTAATGTAATTTACTATGGGAATTTAAGACTGCTTTATTAAAAGTCTATCTGGGTGGCATTTTTGAGCTATTCAGTCAAGACAAGCTTACATTTTAATTATCTTCTTTCATATTTTAAGAAACTTCAAGTTTTTGAGCCAGAATTTTTGGAAAGAGAGGATTTGCGTCGCAAATTTCCCTAAATACGCATCTGATTCATGGCAAATGACTTCAAAAACTTCTCTATCTTAAATATTGAATGTCCTGACTTTATGACCCGTAGGTTAAGCTTTTTTAAAAAGAAACTTTAATAGCAAGTTAATTTGTTCACAAAAAGACAAAAATTGTTCACTGCATGCTTACTATTGTGAGCTAAAGTGGCTCGGTGACGGAATGGTTTAGTACTTTGGTACCCAATTATTGCAAGACCGACACAGCTATCATGGGTTCGAGACTTGGTATGGGAATATTTTCGTTTCTCCTTTTTCGAACCATATGTACTGGATATGAAGTTGACAGCATTTCTTTGTAGGCTACAGGCTGTAGTGCCATCAAAGGAGTGATTCGGATCATCCCACTATAAATCAAGGTCTAGGTTTGACTGCAGTGGTTTGGCGCAATAATTTCTTCAATTAATTACTCATAATAACCAACAATAACACAACTTATTTGAAACTAATGTCAAATCAGCTTGAAATTCTTCAAAAAAAAATCAACATTAGGCTTCTTCGCATGACAACATAATCCTTTTGAATGCCGGATTTTTCTGATCTAAAAATTACTTGAACTCAAATTTAATTTACTTAAAATTGTGAATATTCAGTGGCTCTTAAATTGCTGTCATTATGAGACATAAGTGCAATTTATAAATGAATTTTAATTAGATTGGCATTGAATCATGAGAATATCATTTATGATGTTTCAAACGAGATTATGGTTGTCGCTATTGTGCAAAATTAGTTCCTCAATCAAGATTGTGATTTGAAGCATTTTTAAATAATTTTAATTTATAGAATTATGTTCTACAAGATTTTGAGCAGAAAATTGTTTCCAATGATCAATTTTAAATCTTTACAAAGCTAATAATTCATGCATTTATTGCTATTGTTATTGTCTGGCTGCTTACGATGATAATTTATAAGATAATTCGAAACTTAAAACAGTCAGATTACGATCCTTTGTATTTAGATATTTATTTATTAGCAATATTCGCTAAAATGGTCCATTTTTCCCACCCAGATTCATAAAAATGACATTTATAATATTTTATGTGAACAATTCGCTTGTTTATCATCAGCATGTTAAATGTCAATAACCGAAATTTCATCATTGAATTATCATATCGCGAAATCATTTACGTAATATTTGGTCCACCTGCTAATGACCAAAATTTGATAAAACATGCGTGAAGAGCTTTGATTTTGAATTTATGTGATTTGAAATGCGATAAGAGAATATATTAGGGAGTGGAACTTAAAGCGTTAAGATATTGATAACATTGATGATTTTTATGGTCATTCACAAATGATATCTGAGAGGCATGTAGCTCGGATGTATTCAGAATTGGTTGACAATCCAAAGAAGTGTCAAAAATCGAATCTTTTCGTAGTTATTGGAATCAAACAAACAATTTTGCTGGCACTTTCTAATCATTTTTGTATGATTTTCTATCCAAGACCTTCTCAAAGGGCTTCATTAGCTTTATTTAATTATTCTTAATTCCATATTAATTTACTTCATCAAATAACTAGTTGATTTAAACTCAATTTAAGTTATTAAACCATGAAAACTTCCCAAAATCATAAATTACACTAATCACTTTAAAGTCTCTTTTGTATAAAATCTTAATCTTGAGGAAGTTTACAATTACACAAGCAAATTATTCGTAAACGTTCAATAGTAAATCTCATTTTTTATTATGTTGAATAAAAATAATCCATGGTCTTTTGTTGGACTTACAGAGGCATTTTGTGAATATTTAACTATAAATATTATGAATAGTGTGCAAAAATGTAAGCAGAATACGCAGTGGCAGGAAAGACAAGCACAAATGCTTTCGTCACTTCCTTTCAGTAATTAACACTCTCGTAAAAATAATTCAAAGAAAGAAGCTCATTTAAATTAGTCAGCTGAGATTTTAATTTGAATTAATCATGAAACTCATTTATTTTTGCCATGTTTCGTGCGCATAATGCTGGCAAATTTCATTCGAAAGCTGTTAGTCAATAATGATGGGCAGTAAGTCAAAAGAAATTTGCCAAATATGCTCATCAAAATTCACGTCACGCAATAAACAAATGAGGAAAAAGATTCGTCTCACGCGTCATTACTGTCAACTTCCACAATGAAAATCATATTCATAATTGCTTATTGCGCGCTTTTAAGTGGCTGCTTGTGTTTTGAGATCTAATGTTAACTTTTGAGGTTAGAAATTTTTATATTGTTTCTTAAACTTTATTTGCTTCCAAACTTGGAGGACTTCTTTGCTCACACTTTTAAAGCAAGATTTTATAAAAATAATCAAAATAAGTCAAGAATCTGCAGAAATATTGAGCCTAAAAAACTCGAAGTGGAAGATCCACAAAAAATAAAAGTGTGATTCAACGTTACTTATGCAAAATTTTGTCCAAGAAACCAATGACGTGTCCACAAAACGCTTCTTTCTTAACGGTATTTCTCTTCCATATAACGAGAAATTAATGATGTATAATTTATTTATTACCTATCCATTGTGTCATATAGGACGGAAAATACGACGAAATTAATAATAATAAATTTTTATGCAAATTAAAACTCCAAAAAATAAATAATATGTGCATGAATAATTAACGATGTGCAAAGTGTGATGAGGAAAAAGAGAAAGAGGAACTAAACTGTTGGACTGTAAAAAGTTATAAAAAATTTATTTTCATACCAAAGTTGTTGATCGCATGCTGTTATTGTGTGATTGGAATGTGAAGACAAATTGTCCCTTGTACCTGTAAATTCCAGCTACTACTAAAGACTCAACATCAATTTTGTAAAAAAAAATTAAATTAAAAAAAGAAGAGAATCAATTCATGTCTGAAAGAATGTAACTCAAATCTATTAAATGGTTGTCATTCTGCTTCTCGTGCCATCTTCATCTTCTTCGTCGCTCACAACAACAACATACACGAACTCGGTTTCCATTTCGCAGCCAAAGTATCATGTTTCAAACAGCAGTAGTGAACACAATCGAACGCCTTTACATTCATCAAATTATTACTGTTACGGTTCACAACCGCTTACTCATCATCAATCATATATAAATGCAAGACCCTCAACATCGTCAAATGCAAATCGAAATAATTATAATTACAATCGCGAATATGTGAATCATATAACACGAATAAACATATCCAATGATTTCGATCCACAGATTGAGACTTCGAGTGGTGAGCCAGAAGCTATCGTCAAAGAAGGTGAGTTTGCATCTTTAATTTATTACTTTACATCTGTTTTGAGCATTGAATTAGTTTATTTTTTTTTGGCATTTCCTTATGAAATGTTTGTGGTTAATTTGATGAATTTCTGATGAAATGATGAATTTCAAAAAAAGACCTTCTTTCCTTTTTCGAATGTTTATGTTAATAGATTTGGAAGGTATGATTCAGTGTCATGGGAATTAGCTGTGGAATTTTATTTTCTTGAAAAATTCTGTTGAATATTTTTTTAATTCATGATGAATGTTTTTGACTATTTTAATAAGAATTTTAATGATTTTTACACGAGACATACGATGAATTTTTGATTAATAAGATGCAGGAGAGTTGGGATTAGCTTGAAAAGGAGTTATTAACATCTAAACGAATGGATCGGACCTGATTAAAATAATGTTTTGATAATTTCGAATAGATCTGTTTTCCTGGTTCGTTTTGCGACATTTCAAGAATGACTTAACATAAAAACTTGTAGAATCGCGTAGAATTCTATTAATACAGCCTAAATCAAAGTCATTCCAGAAAATTACACCGGTAAACTAAATTCAATACCAATTATTTGCAGTGCAATTGAGAAATGAAAGGAAAGTCAAGGTTTTTCCAGCATAAATGAGGAACAACAAATATTTGTTTTCTTCTTTGCTGATTGATCTTTTTTAAGGATTGAATTAATCTTGTTTAACCCTAAAATTAAACTGAATTGTTATACTTTACCGGGTTATTAATAGCATCATTTTTTTGTGTATCAGTTGCAAAAAAAAGTTGTTTCCGCAGTTCGTGTTTCATTTGATGGAATTTAGGAAATATTTTGCAGTAATTTGTAGTTTGATGGCTTAAAGGGGATTGAACTTTTTGGACATAATGGTCATTTTTGGTCAGTCATGATTAGACAAATGAATAAAGTCTTATTAAGTCGTTTGAAAAATTTGAGTGTGGATTTTATGGAACTTTCAGGCCTACCTCACACAAATTAATTAAACTTAAAGAACTCAAGCCTCTGGTGCTTTTTTTTGATAGACGATTTCACAGTTTAAGGAAAATTTCATTTCGAGGAATTAAGTTCTTGCAATATGTAACCATTGAATAGATGGGTTGTGTTGGGAATCGAACCAATGATCTTCCAATTATTAAATAAAGTTACAATTTGGTTACTTAACACTACTAGAGCTCATATGTCATCTCGTCTTGCAATAGCAGATTCACCTACATTTGACTCGATATCTTATATTCCACCTTGCTGAGCCAATACAAGACTCTTTCGTCTCTATTCTGTGTTTTGTTAACTACTGAAGTAGATCAATATTTTTGCAAAAATCATTCAAAATCCTGCACTAAAAACCTATAAATAATTTTCTTGTCATTTTTGAGCCGCATTTATGACATTTACATAAATTTCAAAAAATAAGCCATAACACTTAACCAGCACAATTTTTACTCTTCATGCTTAATGTTCCCCATAAATATAAAATAATAATTGCTAATTTCCTTACAATCACGAGAATGACTTGAGCAGCACTCGAACAACAATAGAACATAAATCCACTAAGAATCATCATTGTGATGCATAATGTAGAGGAAAGAAGTAAATCAAAGCATTGAAACCGGCCACAGCAATAAGTAGATCATGACCTTCCTATACACATAAATCGCATGACGACCTTGAGTATGTTACCGCGAACATCATTTGAACTTCTCTGTTATTTCTTTGTATGCTAATGCGACCATGTAATCGTATGAAGAGTTATAACTTATAAGAAATATTTTACTGCATTTGCTAGGCGTTTCTCATGTCAATAAACGAATTTTTATGCGTGAACTCAATGAACCATTAAATGTTTTAATTCTTTTTTGATTTCTTTACAATGCAACCAACATTTTTTTTTTGATTGATTTCGACAAAATAAAAAGTTACAAGAGAGAAATAAATACTGTTATAACGGGACTTCCAGCTGTTATTAAATTGTACTTAATCGGTCAATATTAACCTTCACACATACATTGTAATAAATGTCAACAATGGATTCAATTACATTTCATTAATGACTTGTAATGTGAAGGGTTGAAAGGCTGTTTGGACTAGCTTTATGCTTAGTCATGAGAAAAATTGGAGAAACTTGAAAATTACTTGAATATTGCTTAAGTAATTTTTATGTTGAGTTTTGGAGGTGTTGAAGGGTGTGCTTATGATTGAGTGTTTGTCCATTTGTTTCAAAATTATGTTGAGTTAATTGTTGATTGAATTGGTTTATTTCTAAACTTTCTAATTTTAATGCTTTTGGGTTGAAACATTTTGGACTTGAGGGACTTAACATGTCTAAGATGTATTGCAGATGTTACTTGATTCACTGGCAGTATTGATCAGTTGTGATATGTGGCCACATTTTATCTTTGTATAAATTTGACACTATTGCTTGCCCGTCAGTCTATCCTTGATCTAGGCTACTCTCATTTGAACTCAAAAATTTATTCATTTCACCTATTAGTCACAGACGCAAGACAAAAGCAATACAATAAGTATTCTAGGGTGTGATTTACAGTATGTTAATCTCATGAAATTGAACTGGAAGTTCTATCAATAATTTACTTTGTAGTATCGAATGTGTCGCAAAATAAAGTCAACAACATGCTGTAATGTCAACGATTAATCATTAGCATAAACATCAATGCTTCGAACAAAAAACTAGTTTTTGATGTCAATAATTGATGACTCACTTGCTTTTTTGAATTGACTGATACAAATTAATAATTATTGATTTATTCTTTGAGTAGCTTAAAGGGATATTAAGTCAAAATACTCTTTAATGTCGATTTTCTACAAAGTTTGCTTAGAATTTATATATAACATCCAGAAGGAAGAAGCAAACTTCGAGAGGAATAACAGATCCTGAGTGGGACTCGAACCCACGTCCTATGATCTCATGCTTCTACCACTGAGATATCGGGGGTTATAAGACTATGGCTAAATCCCATATGTAAATTACCCTCTTTTTACTGTTGCCTTGCACTACATGATTTATCGTTGACTGGCTATTATATGGAATCGCATATTCCAACAATTCTCATTCCGCAGGTAGATTCCTTAAGTTTCATACCATTCATACAGTTCATTCCATCGCAAAGCATTAAAACCGATGATATTGATGATATTTGATAAGGAAAACAAATTAGAAACAATTATTAACTACAAACTAGAACAAAAAAGTGCATTTTAATCGCCGACCACCCTGAAAATATTAAAACCTTCAACTTCCAATTCCTTCTTTCAAAATTAATTCAATGTTTTAATTCTTATTGACTCAACTTAAGGTTGAATTGCGGTTAGAATTACTAATACTGCGCAACTACTCAACGTACATGCATTGATCTACGCTATCAGGTGCTATTGGTCGCTCAATGTACACTGAATTAATATTTGTATTGTAAAATCAACAGATCGATTCATGTTCAACCGGAGACTGAGACAGAAACAATAAGCAATTGAAAAATGATAAATTTATTAAATGCTCGAATTTCAGCATTGACATTTTTTACTACTGCTGATCTCGTGTTCTGTTTTATATGCATAGTAATAAATAAATATTTTATTTTTTCAATCTTATGAATTTTTCATATTATTTTTTTTTTAATTCAAGCGTTTAATTCATGAAAAATGGCTTTTTTATTATCAATTTACCGCATTTTTTTCGTGAAAACAAAGGTCATGCAAGGTTTGTCTTAGCGAATTACGTTTATTGTGAGAAAATACTTCAATTCCGTTTGATCATAAATGCAAATATTAGCACATTTTACAATTCACGCTAAAAGCTTTTAAGATTTTTTTTTGTGTAAATTTTATCGGTTCAGTGACAAGTTTTGTAAAAATATTCATAAATTTTTAAAAACATGATGTTGATGGGATGGCAAGATATGCTGATTATTAGTGGAAATTACTGTTTTTAATATCGAGTAAGAAAAAGTCATTTGAAAATTTGTAACTTAAATATTTGCATCAATGTGAACTTCTTTTGACTTTAAGCTGTAAGATTTAAGATTTGAGATTCTAGCAGAGCTCGAAGTCAATGAAATTTTGTATGGAGTCGAATCCGCCATACAAAATCGATGAAAATCTCGAGTCCATTTCAAGCTATGATTTCTAGTCATAGAAAAAATTCTTATTCATATTCCATCAGTTTTGGCATATCAGTTTTTGACATATGTGTAGGTTCCTCTAGGAGCCCTATAAACTGGCCCATCTGCTGCGTTAATGCCAGCTTGAAACTTTGTCTCTACAACAAAAGGGGTCGTTAACTTATGACGTCCGAAATTAAGGGTAATTTTTCAAAAAAGAACAATGGATTTCCTGAAATTTCTATTGTTCTTTTCTTGCTGACCCCCCCCCCCCCCCCCCCTCCCCTGGACGTCATAAGTGAACGGCCCCAAATCCACTGAGAAAGTGAAATATGCCTTAAAAGTATAGACACTAAAATATATCTTTCATTTTATGTGCAGATCATACATAAAAGTATCATGAAATCTCGAAAAATATGACATGACTATGATCACGATGACAGAATTGCTTAAAAGCTTTGAAAAAGTTTCGAACAAAAAAATTATATGATCAAGTCCAAGATTAAGTTTGTCGTGAGAAGAGAGAAAACTTTACCGAAAAAGCTTATTTTAGTAGCTTTTGAACTTTAAAAATGTTTTGATCGTTATGCTTAAGTAAGTTTGAGAAAATGCAGAACAAGTTCCCACAGTTAAAATCCTTATAAATGCTCAAAATTAACAAATAATTAAGCTTGCAAAGTCGAAATTTAATTTATTTTTGTTTCCTCAATTTTAATTCCACAGAAGAAATAATCACAAAACGTAAGACAGAATTGACAACAACAAAACAGATCGAAACGCGAGTGAAGCGTCAAGTGAAGTTTGAAGATGGCAAAGTTATTGAAGATTCTGGTCCAATTGTTTCAACCGCAAGTAAGTTTCACAGTTATTCAATTTCCTCGAGCTCTATTTAAACCTTTCTTTTGTCATTTTCCCATAATTTCTTAATTTAGCCACTGAAGACACCGACAAAGTTGAATCAGAACAAACAGAGGTGAGTTATGGGACGGAAATGTGATTTCAAGGTTTTGAAAATATAAAAAAATTCTAGAAATTTTTTTTATACTCAAAATTTTCAAATTTCCACAGCGAAAAACTCTTGGTGAACCACCAACCACCCTTAAAGACAGTCCAGATGCTTTGGAATTTAATAAAAATTCAGTCAATGGTGAATCTAGTCAAATTGCTCACCCATCAAACTATGTATTGTCAGCAAGAGACGATGGACTCGTGCGCGAAGAGAAAAATAATCGCGTTGTGTCGCGTGAGGATACAACGGAACTAACAGAAATTGAGGATGTCCGGCATTATGGAGACTTTTCTGATGCGGTGAGTACATTTAAGAATTTCTTATGATTATATGGCAATGGTGTACAATTAAGATGTTTATTGTTGCTAATGATAAGCATGGATCTGAACATACCTCAACAAAATCATTAAACTCGCACAATTGTGTCAGTTTTGAAAACTTAAAATCCGTGAAATTTGACAAAAAAAATTGTTTTGCTTTTGTTTTCATTTCGTCTGTGAATCGAAGCGTAAACTCCGACCTACACAACGAGAATTAAAAGAGCTGAATTAAAAGTAAAAAAAATTCGAGCGAGTTCCAATTGAAAGTGAAATTAAACTTTACTTTATTATGTAATGCAATCGAGGCAACGGTAAAGATCATATTGCCTCACTCTCGGCTTCTTTACTTTTATTTCTTCTCCGTTGGCTGTTTTACTTCATTTTTTTGTTTTTCGTTGTGTCCATCGCTATGGAAAATGATATAATTTCTTTTTGTTTTACATTTCTCTACGTACTGTACGTGTACGTGTACTTAGTGCAATATCTTGTTTTGTTATTCATTATTATTGTTATGATTATTGTTTTTATTACTTAAAGCATAAATATACATTTTTAATGAGCGTCTTGGGATGCATTGAGTTGGGCTTGTTTACTTTTTGATGTCTCATTGGTTTTTAGGAATAGAGAAAAAGAATCGGACTTGATTTTAACAATTATTTTGTAAAATAATGTGTAATTAGGCTTTAAAAGTTGCTGAAAATTACAAAAAAAAAAAAAATTTGAGAATAAAAACCGTTATTTTTCAAATTTTCAATTTCAAACGAGAAACAACTTCGCGATATATGAATTTGAATTTATAAAAGTCGATTTATTCATATTGAAAATTAAAAAATTGAAGACAACTTCATGAAGGATAATTTTTGGATTTTTATAAACCGCTAATTTTTTTGAATCTTCAAATAAACGACTTTAAATTGTATTAAAACTTTACTGTTAAAACCAATTCAAACTTTTTTCCATGAAAGTAAAAAGTAGGCAGTCCACCCTTTTATTCCAAGTAAAACTCAAATCTAATTGACCACAAATCCAATTCAACTCACCATTAATTCCTCAAAAAGTTACATAAAAGTATTAATTTTGACAAGAAATTCAGCGAATTTTCAAAATTAATTTCTAATTCACGTCCAATCCATCAAAACATCATGCAATGCGTCAAAGTTAAGGCTCTAATCGAATACCATCCAAGCTTACAATTCATTATTCATGTCGTGCAAAAATGTTTCTCTCTTTTTCTCAAAAAGGCACGAAAAGAAGCAGAAAAACATTAATTAGATATAAAAATAATGAAATCGAATTACCTTAAAGCGTAGCAATGCTAATTTCACCATATGCTAATTATTAATAGCCAGAAAACATTTTTCTCCTTGGTAATTGATAAAATAAAAAAATATTTCAAATCATGCGAATAATGTTGCATGTCTTGTGACATTGTTCATTGAATATTTTATATTATTATTTTTACAAGTACACACAATTTCAACATGCGGCACTGGTTTTCTTTTGTATCTAAAGACACAAGTCAGCTTTATGATGATAAAAGAGATCGAAAGTGCTGCGGTATGAAAAGGAATCGAGCGCATGTCATGAAAATAATGAAATTAAATTACGGCTGATTTAAGCCTGAACTAGAGCTGAGCTAGAGCTGAGCTAGAGCTGAGCTAGAGCTGATCTAGAGCTGAGCTAGAGCTGAGCCAGAGCTGAGCCAGAGCTGAGCTAGAGCTAAGCTAGAGCTGAGCTAGAGCTGAGCTAGAGCTGAGCTAGAGCTGAGCTAAAGCTGAACTAGAGCTGAGCTAGCGCTGAGCTATAGCTGAGCTAATGCAGAAGCTAGAGCTGAGCTAATCCTGAAGCTAGAGGTGAGCTAGAGCTGAGTCAATGTTGAAGCTGAAACAAAGCAAAAGTTTCTATAGTCCAACAACTCTTTTAAAAAATCAGCTAAAATAATTCATCTGAAAAGCGAAAAGAGCAGCGAATGCTAATTAACAAATGATGATGCTGATAATGCGAGTAATTAATGAAGCAGAATAAAAGAAGAAACATGCGACAAATTATCATGAGAATGACTAGAAACATCACTTTATCTCATCATTAATTACTGCTACATAAACATTAGATTGTGCAACTATGTTGATGATTTTATTATCACCGCAGATGTTAATGACTTTATTACTAATTGTTTGTTTTCTTGAATCATCTTGAATTGTCAGGAGCATCAGAGTTCCTTCACTTTCTGTTTTTAATATGTTGACATTTTCTTGGGATATTCTTACAATTTGTGGTAATGACTTCTAGACTGGGAAAATAGAATTTTTGATTTGAATTTTTAAAAGACGTTAGATTTGAAATTTTAAAAAAGACTGTTAAATTTTAAATCTCTAAAAGCAGTTATTTCAAAAAATCCCAAAGCCGTTAATTTTGAATTTTTTGTCAAGTCATAAACAAACAAGTGCATCCTAACCTCACATTTAACTTCTCAGCTCCAGTGACAAACCCACAATTTTTTCCATAAAGCAATGAATTCTTTAATCAATGATAACAGCTTAGAAGGAAATGTTTATGGCTGTGATGAGCACTGCAAAAATTATGAAGGGAATAAATTAAAGGTTAATTATATAATTTATAGCACAAAAGCTTGGAAGTGAAAAATTTTTAAAGTTGTTCTGAAGCAAAAGAATAAAGATTCTAAATAAGATCGCTATCGTTCCCGCCCGACAATCAACAAGAAGGCATGTTCACTTGGCAATTTTTTTCCATCTTTTCTTTAAACTTTGTAATTAATAAAGATGATGAAGAGTTTAAAATCTTTTAATAGAAAAGAAAGATCACATGGGAAAGTCACAGCAGCCGTGTCTAGAGTTGATTGTCGCCTTTTTTGTAGCTGTTGAGTTTATGGAGTAGGAATGTTTTAAGTTCGTTGAACACTTCAAAGTTAAATTGAAAAAAATGCATAAAATGCATTCCACTTTATTATTTTAAGACTTTTATGCTATTAATTACAATGTCTATTGACTAATCATATTTTATCAAAGACACCTATCAAATTTGTATATTGTTTACTAGCTGAGGGTGTCACGTTGTGAATGTTGATTCATGATGCAATAGATTTGGTTTGAGAAGATTGCTTTTTGCATCTTTTCTGTATCTATTTTTGCAACTATTCTATCTGCATCTTTTTCTGCATCTTTACTGAATCTATTTTTGCATCTTTATTTCATCTAGTTTTGCATCTTTACCTGAATCCTTTTCTTAGTCTATTTTTGCATCTCTTTTGCTTCATTTTCTGCTTGTTTATACCTGCATAAATTTAGTACCATTCTCGAGATTTTTAAATTTATGCATCATTTTTGGTAGAATTTGCATCATTTTTAACGAGCTTTTCAAATTCTTTTAACGTTTTTTTTGAACATTTGCATAATTTTTCGCTTCAATTAAAACGACTTTAAAAGCCAAACAACTTTAAGTTGTTAAAAATTATATTATAAATTCTTTCTTAATCATTTTCATCTCTTTTCCTATGAAAAAAGCCGCTCATGTCTGCATATTTTTTGTCTATTCAACTCATAATGACATTTAAAAATTATTACAATGGCTTAATTTTTTTCTCTCTCTCTCTCTCTCGCTTAGCTCTTCTCGAATTTACTTTCCTTTATTATTATTACTCTATACTTATTATCATCAAACAACATGATGAAGTCACATAATAATAATAGGAAGAAAGAAAGAAGTTTAAGATGATGAAATGCGACAATAAGTTAGGAAGATCAAATCACATGAGATTATTGTGTGTGAGAAAAAAGAAAGAGAGACAGCAGCAAAAAAGATATACGGGAAGCATAATAACTGTCTAATTGTCATTTGCATACGATTCTTTATTCACATAATACCTTTTTAAATAATATTTTTTTTTGTGTGAATGAAACAAGAATGGAATAAAAGGCACAACTGCTTGCTTACTGTCTAATGATAACCATTATTATAATCAACAATGTCTGCGGTTGACGAAATCAGTTATGTTTTTAAACTTTTATCATTAATTTTTGGAGTGCTGTTGGCAGGGGCGTAGCCAGGAATTTGATGGGGGGGGGGGGGGGGGGGGGGGTGAGGGTATTTTTGTGATTATTTCATAAAAACCCTAGCAAAATAAATAAATTTCTGTTTACGTTGGGGGATTTGTCACCCAAATCCCCCCCTTCCTGGCTACGCGCCTGGCTACGGCATTTAAACAGGGGGAACCCCACATGATGGAAAAAAAAATTCCATAAACTTACATCATTTTATGGAAAATTATACAATATATTGGAAATTGATGTAAAACTTTTCATCAAATTTTTTTCCACTAAGTAGTTTTCCCCCTGCATGTAAATGGATATTACTTAAGATATTTTTTGAAAAAAGGAAGTTGACCTTTATTTCTTATGATTTTTTGAGCTTTAATTTTCCTGATTTTTCAAACTCCTATCCTCAAATATTCAGTAACAAGCCTCACAACCAGCCCAACCTAGTTTAATAATTAAAAAATTCCAAACAAATTCTCATCAGTATGCTTCATATCAGCACGTTACACATTCTCAACATCCACCTATCTCAACTTTCTTGACATTTAAATTACCTTTTGTTTAAACTCATTCAAAGTCGCAGCGCACATGCCTATCTAATTGTACATAAGTCTGAATATTGTTTAGACTTTCCGGTCTAATTACTTTTCAAAATATTTAGACTTACTCCCCAAAAAAAAAAAATTATTTAACTAAACTTGGAATTTTTCATTATCTCAACATGCATAATCGTTACTTCATATTCCATCACTGTGGATTATTTTTAACATTTTATTTCTTTATGTTTGCCGTACTCTGTCATGGATTAGTGTCGCTCATCTTTTTTTGAGTCAAAGTTAGGTGTTGGTGAGTTACTAGATGTCATGGATGGCATTTGAATCGACTTAATGTTAAGATGAACTTTATGGATGTGCGGAAATGGACTGATTTTATGGGAATTTTTGTAGAGTCTGAAGATGTTGAGGTTATGTAATGTTATTTTGAGGTTAGGAAGTTCTTAAAAATTATTTTAGATTTTTTGAATTGTGAAAAATCAAATTTTTGTCAAATTGATTGAAAATGACAATTTTGAACAGGAACTCACACCAAACAGGATCCAAAACCACAAAAATAGACCCCTTCAATCTAAATCAAGTCACACTTGACATAAATTTTCAAAATCTTAAATCAATTTCTAAACCAAACATCGCCGGGATCTCATTATAAATAGCCAGCATTAGTGAAAACCATCCGCAATAAAATCAAATTATCATCTTCGTCTTATTCCTAATTCCCAAAAAAAATAATAAATAACATCTAATTTTCAATTGAGTAATCAAATTCATTCATTTGTGCCAGATAAGCACCACGAAAAAGTTCTCAATTTTCATTCCACACCAGCAATTTTGCCAATAATTTTTAAAGACTGAATTGATTTTATAAAAATCAGGGGGGACACGACTTGATGAGAAAAAATTGAAGATAAATTCATATAATTTTGAACTAAGAGGATCAAATCGTACGAGAGTAAGAAATTTGTTGGAAAGTTTTTTATTCAATTTTTTCTCACCATGTTGTTTTCCCCTCGATAAACGAAAAGTTCAACCTTCAATTAAATTTCTCGTCTTTAAAGATTCTCTAAATTACTTCATCTTTAATCTGCAATCACACATTTCATATAAAATTAATATCAAAAACGAAGATTATCATTGGGGGTCCTTCATAAATAACGTCTGAAAATCTTGTTGCTTGATGAATGTCAATTATTTACCGCCATTTATCACTTAACGGTTAGAAATATTTTTTTAAGATTTCCTATTTGTCATAAATTTAACATTTTGAACAAAATAAAAGTCTTAGTCTCCCCATCCCCCCTTAAAAGCGTCACCTAATAACAGAACACCCCCTTTAATAAGAACAAAATAATTATATATTGTTGTTAAAAATCATTACTGACATATGTGATGTGTTAGCATGTCATTCTCATACCTTTCTCTCTCAATCCATGAGTTTATGAATCTGAAATTGTGATGAGATTAAAATCAAGGTTGTGAAGCTGGGTTGGGAAATTGATATTTTTTTTTCTAGGAAAGGAAGTTGTTGTGCTTAAAATTATCGATATCTGGTAGCTGATTGGGGAGATTGCTGAATTAATTGGCACAGAGTCTGGACTCAAGGTGGTCGGATGTTGAGATATCGGATGGTGAAGATTGTTAAGGGGCCATTCACTTATTACGTAACGCTTTTATGGGGGGAGGGGGGTCTAAGATTTTGTTACGGTTCAAACAAGGAAAATTTTTTTTCATACAAATTTTGTTACGAGGGGGGGGGGGTCTAAAAAGTCATTTTTTCGCGTTACGTAATAAGTGAACAGCCCCTAAGTTGCTGAGGGTAATTATTACGTGATGAAATTATAGGGATTAACCGTGCTATTTATAAAGTAGTTTGGATTTATCAAGATGCTTAATTTGAATTTAATTAAAGGATATGACTTGTTAAATGAGGGACTGTGTGATGGTGTGTAGAATAATTAATGAAAAACTGAGCTTGTGGGTAGGGTGCTTCCTGGATACACTTCTAAACTTTCTTCCTTAAAAACTGCCTGGCTAAGCTTCTTGGTGCCAAATAAAGTAACTCAAAACTCAGATAACTTCAATGCTTGTTAAAAAGTTCAGTGTATATTTAATCTGAAGAATGCTTCACACCAGAACTCATCAACATATCCACGACCATCAAGACCTTACAATTAATTTCTCGTGCCATACCCGCACTCGACATAATCATCACATTCCAAGTGTCTAAGCAAAATCCTCATTTATTTGAAGACGATAGAAATTGACAATGTGAAAATAAAGTACATGTTGTGGCAAAGAAGCAACCTCAAAACACGTTTTATTTTTATTAATCCGAAAGCATTTCTTTAAGCATGATTTTTTTCCATCTTTCCCTTCCTTCCATTTCTATTATTCTTTCATACTTTACGCAATAGACTTCAATCATCATCATAATCATCGGAGATCTTATTCCTTTTTTTTTCTTCATGCCTTTCATTCTTGAACTGCTAATAAGTTTAGAACCTCATTACATACATTTTTATCTTCATAATAAACATTCAGCATCATTTCACATAAATAATAAAAGGAATATTATGAAGTACAAGGAATTAAGAAGGAGAATCATTTAATGAAAATCTTTATCGTTGCCGCACGAAAACCACATTCTCATTAAGTGATGATGAAGAAAACAAGATTTTTGCAGCCTATGAATAAAGTCAAATCAGCACAAACAAAAAAGAGTAGAAGTGAAATAAAAAGATTCCAAAACGTCAATGCTGGTTGACTGCTGGGTTATGTTGTGATGATGCAAAAAAAATTGCTTCCACACATGATTTATGTCCTTACCATGCCCTTCTTGCATAAAATTCCTTCATCTTCAATCCATTTAAGCATCAAGTCAGGCACTTCGCACACAATACAATTGCCAATGCCAGTTTAATAGCCATCATAGCATTTTTCATCGCTTCATTGCTTGTGCATGAGAATGTTTGGAGTATGAGCATGGATGGTAACTTAATGGAAATCTTTAAGATTGTAGAATACAAAATTTCATTTATAACGGATTTTCAAAATTCAAAATTTAACAGACTTCTGAAATTCAAATTTAACGGTTTTCTAAAATTCAAATTATAACAGATTTCAGACATTCAAAATTCAACTAATTTCTGAAATTCAAAATTAACGGATTCATAAAATTCAAAATATAACGGATTTTTTATATTCAAATTTCATTATTAAGAATTTACGATAAATTCTAGAACTTCCAAAATTCATGTCGTCAAAAAATCCAAAACCTTCAATCCACAAAACCTCAACTCAATTCTCCCTTTTACTTACCATGCCACATTGAGATGGAGTTATAATAAGTAATGTAAACATAAACAAATGAGACATATGAGTACTTAAAAGTGCACTTTTATGATGCATACCAACAACAATGGATGGCTAAGGGGAAGAGAAATGGAAGAACAAGATGTATAGATGGTAATATTAATTTACTGTGATGGCTTTTAAACAGATTCCTTTACCTTTAATACAATTTTTATTTTTCATTCTTCATAACTTCTTTTTTTTCTCTTATTATTATTTTTATGATTCGTTATTGCCTGTGCAATATCTGTGTACATGAAATATAACACACGAGGTATTGAATGATGAAAAAAAAACCAAGCAAGTTGGCAATAAACATATTACAATACAAACATTACCAGATTATTGCCTTCTTATATTCAATATAAAATCCATAAAAATTGTATGTAAACTTCATAAAAAATAAATGTGCAATGAAGCTTAAGTGCATTTGAAATAAATATGAATTGAGCAAGTGATGTGCTTTAAATGTTTTTGACAGTTTTAAGAATTTTGAAAATTTACCGGATTTTCAAAATTCAAATTTTTTGAAAACTTTAATCTAGGGGGCTGTTCACTTATTACGTAACGCGAAAAAATGACTTCTTAGACCCCCCCCCCCCTCGTAACAAAATTTGTATAAAAAAAAAATTTCCTTGTTTGAACCGTAACAAAATCTTAGACCCCCCCTCCCCCTAAAAGCGTTACGTAATAAGTGAATGGCCCCTTGACAAATCTTAACATTTTTCAAAAAATTTAAAAAACTCTTCGTTGGTTAAAAAATTTAACGGTTTTTAATAATTCAAAAATTTTAACGGTTTTAAAAATTCAAAATAATTGACGGTTTTTAAAAATTCAATTGACGCATTTCAAAGAAAATGAATTAAAAACGCATTTAAAAAATTCAAAAATTTAGAATTTTCAAAAGAAAAATAAACATTTTCAACGGTTTTTGAAAATTTGAATTATTTTTAAATTCTAAGTTCAAAATTTCCTTTATTTAAATAAATCCAATCCATAAAAGTCAGCCCTTAACATGCGAAACAATGAGAATCATCTAAAAGCCAGTCAATACTCATCCATTGTGATTGTTAAATGATCTGCTTTTATGCAATATGCTATAGCATAACTTAATATGCTAGATTATTGCACAATATTGATCTTTAACAATAAATTAAAAATCAGCAAATAACAACAAGTTGCACATGTAGTTTGTATATATAAATATTTTCCAATAGACAACAGAGCAGGTTCTTAAAAAATTATTTATAAAAATGTGAGATATGCACAGACACGGCAAGAAAGGGAGAACAAAAAATAAATAAATAAATAAATTGAGAGATTAATCGTAGAATAAACATGATGGAAAACATCTAGTAAACTTAACAAAATATGCTTTATTGGCCAATGAAGGTCTAGTACACAATGAAAATTGCCTATAATCAAGTCATGTACACATGCACCATGATATGATCCACGATTGAGGCAAGGTTGACTTTTAATTTCAATGAAGAGATGAAAATTCTTTCATGCTTCTTGTTGTGGCTCATTCTTTTCTCCTTTTCGTTCCTCTCGTTTGTTGCCTTTTTGTTGATCATCACTTCTTTATCATGTTTACACGCTTCTGGATTGATGTAATTTTTTATTATGGTACTAAAAAGGGTATGATGTAAAGAAATGAGAATTTCTTCTAACAAAGGTAGATGGATCATGATGATGATGATGGGAATTAAAGAATGAATTTAATTGAGATTAAATTAAGATGATAGAAGAATTCCGATGAATTCGAAGGAGGATGGGAAAGCTTGCGAGTCTTGAGGTTAAATTCTTATTGATCTCTTGGATTGTCCTTAAATTTAATCAATTTTAATAATTTTATCTTCTGTTTTGAGCTTGACACTTGCTTTGAAATTTGGATTTGAGCTTTCACCTTCGGATTTGAGCTTTCACCTTCGGATTTGAGCTTGTAATTTCGGATTTGAGCTTTAAACTTCGGATTACAGCTTTAATATTCGGATTTGAGCTTTGAATTTCGGATTTGAGCTTTGACCTTCGGATTAGAGCTTTGAATTTCGGATTTGAGCTTTGACCTTTGGATTTAAGCTTCGATCAACTTGGTAAAGCTTTCTATTTAATATGCATACTAATTCTGAAACAAATAATACTTCTCACATTCTCAGATTTCCTTTATTCAATTGTTTCTATAAAAACCCATCGATTTAATTAATATAACCTCATTTCCATAAAAAAATTATCAATAAACTTGATTTCTTCTTAATTTATTTTCACAATACTCCATAAAATCTCAATCTAGATTGAATTATTTATATGCTATAAAGCGAATAAAAATCGAAACTTTATCGTACTTGCTATGTGTCTTATGTACAAAGAAGAAAAGGAAAAGGAAAGATAAAAGTGAAAGTCAAAAGTATCCCATTACGATTCAGTTTTCTTCCCATTACACGTCCATTTGAGAAGTAATAAAATAAGAGTAAATACTAGCTCATATTACAGTAAGTGCATAAGTATGCATTGGGAAGTGTTTATGTCACTTTATGGACATTAAAAGATAGTGAAATTGCAGCACATATTGTTTTTGTTGAGTAAAAAATTACATTTTTGTTCACATGAACTTTACATTACTTGTTCATAAAAAAGTCAACCTTTTCTCAATCAAGTCCACTGCCAATCCCCTAAAATGAATAATTTGTTGCATTTTAAATTGACATTCCATGCTGTGTGTGACAAGAACTGCACATATGTGGTGCATATGAACATTAATTTTATAATTTTTTATGTAGAAAAAAATGTGAAAGAATTTTTCATTTGATTTTTAAGGAATGGAGAGCTTGAAAGCTACTTAGTTTTTTGATTTTAGCGCATTTTGTTAGGAATTAATAATAAAATCACCCAAGTCTCTGAATAACCGTCTTTTCATTTGAATTTTTACCCAAGACACAATTTTATATTTATTTTCTCACTTCAAACTTTAAATTTACAATTTTGAGATTTTTATAGCTATTTAATGATTGATTATTAGCTCGTAAGCTTTAAAAAGATAGCAAGACTTAAACCTTAACAATTATAAAGTTTAAATGATAATATTTCAATGTTTTTCTACAACATACAAAGTATAAAGGCCCCGAAATCTCAAAAATCTGCTAAATACATTTTTTACTGATCACGCCACTGAAGTGCACACTTTCAAGGATACTACGAACATGTATTGTTCTACCTTTTAGCATTTTCAAGTGGAATTTGTCTGTAATAAAATGTGTTCAAACCCTTAAGGGCACAATCATGTTACTTGACTTTCTTAAACATTTTAATTCATTTTTTATACATAAAATTATATAAAATTGTAAAAATTGCTCGCACAGACGAAAAAAAGTCTACCTTTGGATGTTCTGCCGATACTTCATGCATAATGAATTAAATGTAATGCGAAGCCTGCAATTATCGATCTAAAGAGACATTTATTGATGGTAGAACACAGAATTTAGCTCGAAGCACAACATTGAATGGATCCCTTTTAAATCTAAATTAAGATAAATGATTCAATTATTTTTGATCCACCCTCTTTACTCTCGTTCTCTCTCACTTACTCATTATTCGATCAA